ATTTCCCATTTTTTTTCTTATATTCACCCTGAAAAATAGACAGGGCAGGTGTATTAATTTGTATTTTGCAGATAAGAAAAGTGAAGTTCAAAGCTTTTGTCTTGTTAGCTGGTGATCATAAAGCTAATAAGGATAGCTCGTGTCACAGAGCTAGTTAATGACAGAACCAAAGACATCTTCTTGTGATTTCAAATCCTGTGCTTCTCTGGTTTTCTTTGCAAACCTCCTGGGCTCCCAGCTTTAGTTGCTGACCTCTCTCTCCGTCCCTTCTGATGTTCCTTATGAGGAGTTGAGGAGGGTTATTACAAATTAAATATCTGGATGCTCGAACTGATGAACAGGAAATGAGGCTGCGAATGCTCAGAGGAATGAAACTGAGATGCATTTTTTTTAAAGTAGAATTTTGGGCCAAGTGGCCTCTTTCTGTCCTGCCCTTCCCTGTGTCCTTCCAGTCTCCATGGAAACCCCAAATCAATGCAGCATATGTTGATCCATGTTGCTACTGTTACCAGGAAGCTACAAAGTGGAAATTGCTTTTAAAAGATTTGCGGAAGAGCTTGAGCATCTGACCAGAATTCAAATCTAATATCTAAATGACTGTTTTATTAAAAGCTTTTAATGTGGTCCTATTCTAGGTGGTATGTTGATTAAATAAACACACAGGAGGCATTTGGCAATAAACCTCCTCTTCTACAAGCCCCGGCTTTTTAAAATATTATATTGCAGGCTTTAATTCTCTTTATCTTCAATTTAATTACATTTTCATGGCCTGTGTGGCAATGCCAGGTGCTCCTTTTGCTCTTGATTAATTCCACCCTGCCCTGACTAGGCTGTTGGGATAGTTTACAAAAGCCTTCTTTCTGTACCTGTACTGCTGCCCCTGAATTCCATTAGCATTCTGTTGACTTCAATACTGACCAGGATGTGCAGAAGTCTAACTCGTTTCTGCTATAAGGAATGCCTGGTGATTTTTTCAGATTTTTTTTTTTTCATGAACACAAAATCAGATTCGGCGGACTTATTAAACACCTGCTCCATCTGAGGCAATGAGGATTGATAGCATGGAGTCTGTCTTTTTGGAGTGAATAGTCAGTTGGGAGGATCAGAAACTATCCATCAAAAGGGTCAACGAAGACTGATAGGGGCTGTTGGAATCATTCAGCAAGTTGGTGGCACTGGTATGAAGGGGCTCCTCCTGATTGAAAGAGTTCTGAAAAAGCTTGGGAAGGGAAGTTTTAGTTTACAGATGATGGGTTTAGAAAAGGACTGGGAGTTACCGGGCAGATGGAGGGTGGGGACATTCTGAGCAGAGGGAGCTGCAGAGAAAATCAGGTGCATGGGTGCATATGTGTGTGTGTGTGAGAACAATGAGATATAAAGGTGGATGGGTAAACAGGACCAACTATTGTTAGGCACAGCATGGAACTGCAATGGAACCTACACAGATTATTATAGAGATGATCTGCTTTATGGTGCCTGTTCAGTGGGTAACTGATGGTTGTGCGGTGTGTGAGGTTTGTGGCTGGCTGGGGAAGGAATGGGCAGGGAGATCCAACTTGTAAAGGGGAGGATGCACACTGTATTATGAGCTGCATAACCTCTGACTGCAGGGCCCATGGATGGGAGGGACTGAAGTTAGGAAGTATTTAAAAAATATAACGAAGAGATTTTAAAAACAATTCAACCAGAGGAACGGAGAAAAAGAATTCAGAAATATTTGTACGTCTTACCCCAAGGGACTTGAGTAAAGTGATGTCGCGAACAAGCAGAGAGTCCTGCAGGAATGGGGGATTGGGAGAAGAGGGGTGGTTCTTCCCCATACAGTGGCGCCTGCGGGTCTGGGGCATGAGGAGCTGTCCAGCACATCTCTGGATGAACAGCCTGGAGCTCCCTAGAAGTAGGACTGAAGACCTGAGGAGCAGAAGTGTGCACCTGGAGCGGGCAGGTTTCCCAAGAGGAGTGCTGTAGAAATAGCAAGAGCAGAGGGGTGCAGGGCAGCCGGAGGAATCAGAGTGGGGCTTGTCTTCAGGTTTCTGGGAAAAATCAGGAATCGCGGCCAGTTGGGATGTCCTGTGCCATCTTCAGCTAGTAAGCCAGAAGCAGCATCCAGAAAAGAATGGAGAACTTGACCTTTCTGGCCAGGGCTGTAAGCCTGGGGGCTGCAGAGGACAAATGGATATGCTCCAACCTCCTGGCACTCAAACTCACCAGTCTTTTCCTGTCCCCTTCCTTCAGGGAAGAAGACCATGTTAGAGGACTTAACCTTAGGTTCAGCCTGATGATATCCCCCTGGAATTCCTTATGCACCATCTCTTTGGAATATTACGTTAGAGTTCTGTAAGAAGGTACCTGGACTAGGTCTGTATTTCTCAAACTGGGGTGCTTTGGAGTTCCCTAGTGTTTAAATGTTTGGGCTGGTTTTCATTTTCTCTCCTTCTTCCTGTTCTACATATCCACACACTCTCGTCTCTCTGCTCTTTCTAAGCTCATTCTTTTCTTCAATGTGGTTTATTGACTTCCTGTGACTATATTATTTCTCTAAAGGCTAATTGAGGATTCTGATGGCTGGTTAATATTGATCAGCTTCCACTTGAGACTTGAGCCCATCTGCAGCCCTGCCCTCTCTCCCCAATCCCTTTCCATCCTGGATATCAGACTTGGCAGCGGGAGACTAGGAGGGGGTTTTCATGATGCCATCTTTGTGTTAAAGTGACGGGCACAGCAGCACTGAGTTTGACATCAGACCTCCGCTCTGCCACTTATAAATGACTTGTCTCTGTTTTCCTACCTGTAAAAGGGGCTGATAAAGATGCTGACCTTGAAAATTGTTGTGAGAATTAAATAACTCAAGGACCAACTATTGTCAGGCACAGTGTGGAACTGCAATGGAACCTGCACAGATTATTGTACAGGTGATCTGCTTTATGGTACCTGTTTAGTGGGTAACTGACGGTTGTGCAGTGTATGAGGTTTGGGAATCACATTGTCTGGCCCATACTAAATGCTTATTAAACTTGAACTATGCACATTAAATATTAGCTCTGTGAATTTACCTTATGTTTTAAATATATCCTAGTCTAGGGATGTGCTTATCCATGGGCTTTTATTTATCAGTGTATTTGTGTATCAGTTTCCTTACATACACTGTGCTGAAAAAATGCCCAGAAGTGAAGGATTCTCTTTCTGCTTAAGTTCTAAATTCCAGCTAGCATCAGGGTTCAAGACAGGAGTTACAAGGAATGGAAAACTTTTGCATCTTGTTTTGTAGCACAAAATTTCCTTGGCCTTATCAAGAAGCACTGTGGCCATTTTCAGAGAGAGACAATGAGTCACTATGGAGCTAGCATCAGAATTTTTATTTCATCCTATCATCAGGCAATGAATAGTTGCGGCAGAATCATTCACTGTCAGAATATAGGTTCAGCACCAATAGATCTGCCCAGAAAGACTGGGTTGTGGCATGACGTAGGAGAAAAAGCTCTGCTGTTAGAGTCACAAGACACAAATTCCTTGTGCTGCCTCTTATGCATTGCGTTGCTTTGAAAAGAGGCACTTTACAATTATTAGCCTCAGTTTTTTCCATCTGTAACTTGGGAATAATAACACCCTCTCTGACCATGGCATGTGATTGATGAGTGTCAGTATGTGTCCTTTATGCACTGTAAGAGATTAAGCAAATGGAATCTATTACCTTTATTATAAAACCATTACTTTCTGTAGAGATTTCTGTTACCTGCTGGGTTTCAGAAATGACTTGTAGCTAGTCTAGGTGTACTTGGAACTGGTCGATTCCTGGGGGAAAATGAAGACTCAGCCTTAGAAACCCAGAATGTAATGAACAGAAGGCAAGCTTTATCCCAGAGCAGTGGTTTGCAAACTTCAGCCTGCATCAGAATCACCTGGAAGGCTGAGCACGGTCCCCAGAGTTTCTGATGCTGTGGGTCTGGGTGGGGCCTGAGAATTGGCATGTCCCACACATTCCCAGATGCTGCTGAGACTGCCCGTCTGGGCACCAGTCTTTGAGAACCACTGTACGGGGGCAAGCAGGAAGGCTTCCTTGTGGAACAGAAGCAGGCAGTGTGAAAACCCAGGTGGGTAAGGAGGCTTGGGAGAAAAACTGGAAAAGAGACAGAAAATAGGGAAGATGTGTGCAGATAGGGCAGAACAAAGAGAAAAGTCGCACTCCATCACAAATGCAAGTAGGGGAAGTTGCTAGGTGATGGATGAGGGAGAGAGGTGAGTTTCTTCTGTAGGAAAAACCAGGTGAGAGGCAGGAGCACAGGGTTGGAAATATGCACGTTTGGGGAGGCGGAGGAGGTGGAAATTTCTCATTAAGAAGTGGGGAGCCGTTGGTTGGCACTGGTGGGGGGTGGGAGTGGAAATGGGCTGGGGGAGAGGTGCCTCTGTAGAGTAAGGGGACAGATGAGATGTGGCAGAGAGGGGTAATTTCAGGGCTGTGTGGTTTGGCTTGGTAGTGCAGCACAATAGAAACTGGGAGAAAGGGGGTGGAATTTAGATGTGTGACCTGCCCCGTAGCTTTCTTGCTCTCTGCATTTATCACATCACATCACACCCAGCAAGACAGCCCCCCTCCTCCTGGCTCATTAGGAGATTTGATTCGGCTTGGCTCCTGCTGTCAGCAGCTGTCTGGGGCAAGATCTTTATGCTCCCTGCTCCCTGTGCAGCAACGAGCCTTCAACCAGCAGCAGAGCTCATTAGAAGAGGGTCCTCTGGACACTTGATTTTCAGCTCTTTGGTGGCCCGAAAGAGTTAATACCTACTCTTCGCTGGGTGCAGAGAGGCGGCTGTGGGCTATGGGGACTTCTCCCTGAGCTGCAGCCAGAGGAGCTGCAGGTTAGTGAGGCTGAGGAGGAAGGTGCGGGAAACGTGCCAGGTCAGCTCTGCTCAGGGGCACCTCCTGCATCCTGCCAATGAGGATGGGCGTGCAGACCGTGCCCGGGAGCCGAGCTGCCGCCTGCTGGGTGTAGGCTGCTTCAGTGTTTACTGGATGTGACAAGCAGAGAGAAGAGCTTTCAGCGGGGCCGCTTGCTGCCTGGCTCAAGTGGTGGGAGGTGTGTTGTGCACGCATGCCTGTGTATGTATGTGTGCGCGAGCCTGTGTCCATGCAAACATGCCCTTCTCCTGCCAAGGACTTCACTGCTAAAAGCAAGCTCTACTCTTTCCTCAGAGCTCCTTAACCCACAGCCTCTCTCATCATCCAGTTGGTAAAGACCTGCAGGCCATGAGGACTGGTCAACGACAGTGAGTATTGCTTTTGCTTTTCTCTTTCCTCCCTGGGGTGTCCGTGTGCACCGATTGCATTATCCATATTTAATTAACCTGCCTCTTCATGCATATTGATTGCTTTCTCCCAGTTGAGTCTCTTAGTTTCTCTCCCCTTCTTTTAACCTGTTTTTTCCTTGAGTATCCTTTTTTCCATTATGTCCCATCCTGTCTGCCCCAGAGTCACCTGTGAGGTGGTGTTCACTTACCAGAGCATACTCCCTATGGGTGCAATCACATCTTTGAACTTCCTGGGCTCTGGGCAACCCCTTGATTCCACCCTCCACCCCCCAAAAGTCTAGGACCAATTGGGATAAGAGCCCCAAGGTGTCGAAATGGTCAAAGCAGCTGGGTTGGAGTATATTCCTAGTTCTCATTTAATGGAATTCAAGGTTGAGCTCATCAAAGGATCAGTGGGGGTGGGGGGCGGGGCTGAGGGGCAATTTGGGCAGAGCTGGATTTGGAAGACAGAGAGACAGGTGTCTGAACAGCATGGGCAAACCAGTGTGGGCTGGCAGTGAGGATGGGAGGACGACCAGGCAGGAACAGAGGTTGAGTGGTCTCCTGCCCTAAATGACCTTGCCTGTCATATGTGGGTAGTAGTCTCTGGTTGTGCTCAGCTCCAGGATAATGGAGGCCACCGGCAGGGGCTTCCCCAACTCCTGGGGGAGAATCCCATAAGCAAGGTACCCCAAGAATGATTTGTAGGGGCCCTTACCATTGTAAAGGGCTTTGATTTCCTGACTTCTGGGCAAGCAGGTGTAAGCCCAGTTTGGACAATGATTGGGGGAAGTATTTCTAGTGTTGGGGAACACAATTTCTATGGGGATGAGTCTTTGCATAAAACCTAATTTTTTCCTCTTTTAGTTTTAGCAAAGCATTCTTTTAAAATTTGTTAATTATAGTATTATTAGGGGAGCAATTTAAAAAAAGTATTTGTGGAATGTTCAGGGTAATACCAAAATAATTTAAATGGCGTAGCTCACATAGGAGCCTTATCTATCTAAATTAGGTTTCTTTGAAAATGGATTCTATGTTTGGTGTCAGAGTTCCCCAGGGGAACCCTTTATGGATAGGCTGCTCTCTTCACGTGTTCCTTCCCATCAGTTCTCTTCTGTGGGAACAAAGGGCCTGAAGTATTGAGAATGGGACCCTCAGGAGAGAGACTATAAGTCAATCAGCCTTCCACCTCAGTATCCTCTTCTCCCCGCCCCCTGTCCTCCCTCCTCAGGTCAAGAGTAGGCCAGTCCTCAGGCTGAGGAAGGTCACGCAACCTCCATATGGGCCTGAAAGAGTGACTTGCATATTCATTTCTTCAGGCTGCGCCTGTCATCCCTGTAAAGGAGCGAGCAGCGTCCCTGAGAGGGCTCCCTTGGAGTTGCTCCAACCTCCCTCCTGCTCCCATCTCCCAAGCCTTAACACACTCCCACCTGGGACAGAGCAGCAGCCAACCACATTATTCTGGAGCAAGGGCTGCCCCCCTCCCCCTCCCTTCCTGGCTGGTCACTTGGGCCCCACTCTAGTAAGAGAAAGAGAACAGTGATTTTTGGTTTGTCAGGCCCGTGTCTCCCTGGAGGCACGTGTCCCACTTTCTGTTGATGGCCAGTGGTTGGGGAGGTAGGGACTTCCTACCAGTGGTCAACGGAGTAAAGTCACCCAACCATTTGTTCTTGTCCATCCTTGGTTGGTCACCCCTGCTAAGGACAAGTAGGCATTTGTGGGAGCTGGGGTGTGGGGAGGTGCTCCATTAGTGGTTAGTCCTCTGAAGGAAATGTGTAGTCAGATGAGAGAGGGTGGCCCCTCTTACAGCAGATTCTTTGATTTTAGGTGAGAGGACGTGAAAGGGTAAATCCCCGACCCCCGCAGTCTTATTTGCTGCCCCGACGTCCCAGCAAACCAGCCCAAGGGTTAACCGTAAGCGGATGCCTGTATGGCTGCCTTACTGATGCCACGCAGGTAATGGATCCATGACCTTTCTTGTCCCTGTCCTCTCCTCTTTTCTCCACCTTCCCACCTCCCCTGCTGTGCGAGCCTGGCCCAAGCCTTAAGCCCCTGGGTGGTCCACTTGCCTCTGTCCCCCAGGCCTCTGTGTGGACTGAGCTGCTCTTGCCTGTGTGCTTCTTGCAAAGCTGGGGTTTTGCAAGCAGAACTTGCCTTAGCTCCACTCTCCCGCTGACTGGTAGGACCTCTTGGCTGTGACTGGTGGGGTGGAGCAAGGGACTGTGCATGAGCTTGTATGGAACCATTTAAGACCTCTGTAATTTCCTAGGGTGGAAGACGGGGGAAAGTCTAACTTTTTATTTTTTAATATATATTTTTTTATTTATTAGTACTGGGGATTGATCCCAGGGATGATCTACCACTGAGCTACATCCCCAGCCCTTTTTATTTTTTATTTTGAGACAGGGTTTGTCTAAATTGCTCAGGGCCTTGCTAAGTTGTTAAGACTGGCCTTGAACTTGGGATCCTTCTGTCTCAGTCTCTTGAGTCTCTGGAATTACAGGCCTGTGCCACCATGACCTGTTTTTCTTCTTCTTCTTTTTTAAGTAACTTAAAATTTTACCTTTGTTTCTCCCATTATTTGAGCTCTAACTAACTTATTAAAAGATTACAACTTGGGTCTCAGCTAGAAAAGTGGAAAATAAAAAAAACATTTTGCCCCAAAGAATATTTAAAAATTTTTTTTAGTTATAGATGGACCCAATACCTTTATTTTATTTATTTTTATATTATTTGTTTATTTTTATGTGGTGCCGAGGATTGAACCCAGTGCCTCATACATGCTAGGCAAGCACTCTGCCACTGAGTTATAGCCCCAGCCCTATTTTATGTATTTTTATGTGGTGCTGAGGATCAAACCCAGTGCCTCACGAGTGTTAGGTGTGCTCTCTACCACTGAACCACAACCCCAGCCCCGAAAGAATATATTTTGTTGAAGACTTTTTCCAGTGGTTTGGAAGAGTCACTGTTGTCTTGGTAACAAGTAGCCCCCCCTCACATTGGCCCATGCTAAGCCTTCTTAAATGGCTTGTGTGAATTTGCCACTTTTTGAGAGTCCATTAATTGCCCTTTGGGGGCAGTACCTGACTGTTTTATGACTAATGATCCCCAGGCCATTGGGACGAACTGCCTGGCTGGAAGTCGAGTTTCGTCTTGGTACAGCATGAGTGGGACCTTTAACTTGAATTCACAGAACTGGATGACTCCAGAGCCACTTCAATCAGCTGCTTGCATAGCTGTTGTTGGGCACCCTGGGGTTTGTAAGAGTGAGTGGACACATGAGATGTTTGCTGTCTCAGGAGACGCGATGTCTCTCGCCAATGTTTTGAAATGCCAGTAGATGACTCTGGTGTGGTCTGGTGGAGATCAGAGATGGGAACAGGGATGTGCAGGCCAATTTTCTGCAGGAGAGAGAATATTTCTGGAAACTTGGATGTTCCAGCCCTAAGAGGCTCTTTGGAGATGTGCTGTAGCATACAAATGTTGTCCATCCCTGCCAAATATAATGCCAACTCAGTGGAAGACATTTGTAGGATGAGATTTCTGTGAACAAAGAGAATTACAGGGTCAGGGATGGAAACCCATTTGAGCCAAAGGAAGTGATTGAATTGGATGATCTTTAAGGCCTCTGCCTAGTCCCAGGATTGGGAAAACGAGGGAAAGAAAGTCTGGCCAAAGGACTTGCTTACAATGGGGGAAACGGCCATTTCTGTTGGTAATTTGGACCATTTCCACGGTAATTGGTTACCCATGTGCACGTGGCATTTCCTTTTATAAGTCAATCTGAAGCCCTGATCTGATCATACCAAACCCCCATCTACTTACCTTTGCCCTCAACAGGAGGAGTTACCATGGATAAAGGTCAGGGGTTAGCAAACTTATTTTGTCAAGGGCTAGAGAGCAAATATTTTTCAGTTGTTTGGGTTAACTACCTAACTTCACCCTTGTCGTTGAAAGCAGCTTTAGATAATATGTAAACAAACGGCGTTGTTGTGCTCCAATAAAACTTTATGTACGTAAACAGGCACCTTGGAGGGCTTTGGTTTGCCAACCCCTGGTTAAAAGGTAAATAAGGGTTAATGTTGAGAGTCAGAAACGGTGGGAAAATTTCTCATTGGATCCTGTCACCTTGTGGGTCCTTCGGAAAATAAAAAGTATGAGAAATTAAACAAAAGTGTTAAAAATTTAAATATGCCCATTGACATAAGCCAAAGTATGAATAGGAATACAGGAATTTAGTTAAGCAAGTGTAAGAACTAATGAAGGAGATCTTGGTTCTTAATTGTGGATTGTGTTAACTGCCTTGCCGCTCCCCTGTAGACATCAATCCCTGAGGTCCGCAGCCATTCATTCCTATATAACCTATGGGTGGGATGAGTGGAGAGAACCCGAGAGGGAACTGACCAGCCTCCAAGCTCTAGGCTTTGCGCCCTGACTCTCTGATGTGCACTCTGCCTTCTGCAAGCTGTCCTTCCCTGGTGGTGTGGAACTACTTCTGGGGTTTTGCAATTAGAAGCTGCTGCTGCTGCTGCTGCTACTTTGCCCTCCTGGCAGGAAAGCAAAATGTGGATTGTTATTTTGTCACCACTGTATTTCCTTTCCCTACAGAGAATCCTAATTTAGAAATTCTTCCAAGCTAATGACCTTCATTGACTTACTATCAACTTGCCGTGTCAGCTTTAAAAAGCATTAAGCCTCTAGAGTAGGGTAGGGTACCTATTAGCAGTCACATTAAGGAGGGAGGAGAGCCCTAGACTCTAGGTGCTCTCTTCTGGTTCTTCAGGGGTCCCCTGGGGGTAGGGGAACAGTGCTGGCTCCTGCAGCCGCAGTTCCAGGGGCCCTTTGGAGCTGACAACGATGATCGTGACAGTCCCGTCCTTCTGCCCCCGTGCTTGTTGCAGGAACAAAGGCATGAGGACTCGACTGGGCTGCCTGTCTCACAAGTCAGACTCATGTAGTGATTTCACAGCTATTCTTCCCGACAAACCCAACCGTGCTCTCAAGTGAGTAGTATGGCGGCCTAGCGCTCCTGGGGTGCCCACTGCGGGGTGCCCACCATGGGGTTATATAACCCATTCTTTTCTGGTTGCTGACCAGATAAGCCACAGGACAATAAATTCCTGCCTCTTGGCAGCTGCTTTAATATCCCTGAGCATGAGTGAAAGGAATGTATGGCTTAGCGATGTTGGAATAGGAACCCTCCTTTTCCTCCAAAGAAAACCATACCCCCATCACTCACAAAGCTGTGGGTGGCGAAGGATACTTCTTGGTTCTACTTAGTTGTCAATCTGAGCTCTCGATTTGGAAATAAACACTCAAACCTACTCTAAAAATATGCTTAGATTCAGATGATCTGGATTCCCCGCCTATTCTGTGCAGGCACTGTGTTAAGTGATGTCACAGGTGTCGCCTCATTTAACCCTCATACAGCTCAGAAATGGGCATGATTTATCTCCGTTTCAGCGGGGAAGATATCAAGGTGACAGTCAGAGATGGAGTCATGAGCTGAGCCTAACTTTTCTGACTCTAAGACCAGTTTCTTTCCATCGTTACTTTGATGTCTTTAAACCAGTTACTTCACTTCATTGTTTAGACTGAAAGTCGATATACAGAATTTCCCAAATTCCCACCTTGAAGTTTTTCCAACCATCACTTAGGAGTGCACAAATTTATAGCCACTGATTTGCAGGATTCAGGTCTGGTCTTCATTTGTCCCCTCTTGTGCCTGCTTATCCCCTTGGGCAAATTTCAGTGGTGTTTGAGGGAGAGGAGGTCATTTCAGAAATATTCAAGAGTGGTGTCTCTTCTTTCCTAGGAGGTTATCCACAGAAGAAGCTACAAGGTGGGCAGATTCCTTTGACGTGCTTCTTTCTCATAAATGTAAGTAGAATTCAGGTGGCCTCACGTGTCAGCAAGTCATTCATTTAATAAAAGTTTGCACCAGATGCCTCTGGGGCGCCAGGTACTGGGTGAGGTGGTCCAGACCTGTGTGGGTCCCCTACTCACAAAGCCTCCTGGAGGAGCACAAAGATAAGAAAATGGATAATTTACGTGTAGAGAGATGAAGGTCATCTGTTTTCTGGATTCAAAGTATGGTCCTACCATATTCCATGTTAAAGCAGTTGAGTTGCAGGAATCCAGGTATGTGGGCTGGGGGTAGAGCTCAGTTGGTAGAGTGCTTGCTTCACATGCACAAGGCCATGGGTTCAATCCCTCAGCACCACACACACACACACACACACACACACACACACAAAAATCCAGATATGGTCTTCATTTGTCCCCTCTTGTGCCTAGGTGTTCCCCTGAGCAAATCTTAGTGGTGTCTGAGGGAGAGGAGGTCATTTCAGAAATATTCAATCAGCAATTTTATTCAATCAGCAATTTTAACAAAAGAGAGTTTAGTTTAGGGGATTGGAGTGATGGGCTCCATGGTTTGAGAGACTCTATGTTCCATCTGGATCTTGTTTATAAAATTAAATGACCTCTCTGCAGGTCATTGAAGAATCTTGGGCTCGGTATTTACTCAAGACAGAATTTTGACTTTTCTTGTTCTATTTTGAGGGATGACTGCCTCAGCTGCATCGAGCCCCCAGTTTCTGACTAGAACACAGCCTCTGCTAACCCTCTTCCTCTCCCATTTCCTCTTTGTCTGTGGTATCTTTTATTTGCTGCAAAGACAGAGAGAGTTATCCTGTTGTGGTATGGGGATGGAGTTTGCTATCAGTCCAACTTTCCAGCTCTTTCTCTGTTTTCTTTCTGAGCAAGTCCAAAGTTGTTGGGCTTTGAAGTCCCAGTGTCATTAAATAACAGGATGTTGTACAGCAGGGGTGGGGAAGAAAAAAAGGGGTGCTGTAAGATTTGGAAGGTCTCAGGCGGGCATTTGGTGTTCCCCTTAATGTGTCATGTCAGTCATGTCAGTGACTGGTTTGGGAGCAGGGGTGTTTGGCCGTTGACTCTACCTAACTGGGGAACATGGTTTGTACAATTAAGTTAAAGGTGCTGGGTGGGAGTCAGACCTGTCCCCAATTCCAAGTCAGCCTGATATAGGTGGGTGGTCTTGATGGAGACCCTTGGTCTTCAGAAGATGTCTCTAGGAGTGATTTTTTCTTTCCACTTGAAGAGTTTCCTCTGACTCTGCCCTTGATTCTTAATAAACTTCTTTTGAATTGATTTTAAAATAAAATGCATAATCTAAGAATAAGCACATATTGTAACAAGTAATTTCGTGAGACAAATAGTCATTTTAGTATTCCATGGGTTGTACTTAGACAGGAAAATAAAGCAGCATAGATACAGCATACATACCATATGGCTAAACCCCACACAGCAAGCTTACGCCATGAATTTAGCAAGGTAACGGCATATGTATGATAACATTTAGGATTCGACAGTAATGCCTTTCTTTCTTTCTTTCTTTTTTTAAAATGAGGCTATTCTGAAGATTTTTCTGGGGTTGAATTTGCCAAAACAAGTGTCACTACCAATTTATGCTGCCTTTTCTGGCTGGTTTTGATTCAAGGTCATCCTGAAGTTGAATTTCTATTTCCGCCTCACAATGGATTCACTTAGATCAAGTCCCTGAGGCTGTTTCCTCATTCTAAGATGGGGTTAGAAATACTTGCTTGCTACCTGTCACCTGCATATGAGAAACTTCATAAGTGAACAGACGCCTTTAGAGGATTCTGGGCTCTCTGTTCAAAGATGTGTATAAGGATAAGGTGGTAATTTTAAAAAATGATTTTTAAAAATTTATCAAATGTAAAATAAATTATACCTTGAGCATAAGGTTGCAAATTTTTGTAGTCAGTGATTAATATTAAGCCCTTATAGACAAGTTTATGGAGGTGAAATTAGGTACTGGAAGCTTGGGGTGCATTTGTATTGTGGCAGTGGCAATACCTGGAGATTTAAGAGGTTTAATTTTATTTGCTCAATTCAGTGTCTCTTAATCTGAAGATACTTGTTTCTGCGTCTGTCAGAGATGCTTTTGTTTTCCAGGAATGCAAGGACACTTTTCTGAGATGGGGTTTGGCTAAGGAGTCTCAAGCTGACACCAATTTGCTTCTTTGTCAAATAACGACAGAAATGGGCTTTTTGAGCTTTGAAGTTCTATGATCTTTCTTGGAATCTGATTTTCTGTTTTTATCTCTGTTAGTTTGGAATAAAAAGCCAGTGGAATGAATGTCCTTGAGAAGAAAGGAGTCCTTGTTAAGAATCACTGGTAGAATCTCAAGCTTTTAGAACTTGAACATGAATGTTTACCCCTCTGTGGGGCTACAGAGGAGTTAGAGGCCAGCTTACTTTGAAGGGTGTTGACAACTTTCTAAAAGTCTAATGAACTTGGGTTGAAGTTGTGACTCAATCAGGACTGATTAGCTTTCCCAAGGGGATTGTACATGTGCTAGTCCCTTAGGAGGGATGGCTTTGATGAGATGTGTGCAGAGCTTTCAATTAAGACAGAAAACATCCTAAGAAGTAGAAAGTAGAGTCCCCGAATGACTGAGCTCTAGAAAACATGCATTAGTCTGGAACCCACTCCCTGGCAATTCTCCACACGTGGGCGGCTGTCCTCCCTAAGATTTTTATTCCATGAAAATCTGGATAATTATAGAATACCTTTGTTATCCCTCCTCTGCCTAGATGTTTTGGCCACTCATTTATTTTTTAAAGGAGGTGCTTAGTATTCATTATGTACAAAATCTATACTATGCAGCTGGGATAGGGCACAAAAATCAACAGGACACAGTTCATGCCTGGTGGAGAATGTAGCTGTCCGAGGAGACAGGCATGTATACGAATAATACAAGAAAAAAATAGAGTGTGTGACCACATTGTAGGTGGTCTTGAGATTTCAAATGGAATCCTGACATTCATCGACCCTCTTAAATTCTGTCCTGTCCATATTAGAAGTGTTGGAGCACAAGGACTACTTTTAGTTTAGAGCATGGTTTCCAGTTCACCGGAGAACAGGTATTTGAACAATTAAATGAATAGCACTGACTGAGAGTCAAATCTATGTTCCTGATTTTGACCCAGCTCTGCTACTGGATAATTGGGTGCCCTTGATGGAGTACTATTTAGCCTCTTGAAAAATCTGTTACCTCGTATTTACAGCTGGATCCAGTTCTACCCCCTCGTCCTGGGGTGTTCTGTAGCAAATGTGGGGGCTGGACAGTAACCAATCACCTACAGCAGGTGGTTTGACTCAGCGCTGCCTGTAGGCTTATGTAAAACTGCCTCAAAGCTGAAATGGCTCCAGCTACCAGAAGGGGGACCGAGGTGCCCCTGTTCCAGGCTTCTGCCCTCCTTGGCACAGTACCTCCTTGGCAGAGCAGTTCATGGGCTCAAATCTCAGGCAAAAGGAAAGCAACTTTGCTATTTCTTAAGGTTTAGAATTAAAAAAAAAAAAAATCTGGAAGGCAAATATTTGGAGTAGTTTTATTTCCAATCATATTTGTTTACAAATGCAATACAAAGAGGAAAGGCACCCAAGGAGGCCTGGGAGGTAACCACTAGCTAAGTGCTCATTTATTTTCTTTGTAACTGAACTTGAAATTGCTGATGGCTTCATTAACTAGGAAGGGTTTCTAATGTATGTTAATTTGGCATCTTTTCCCACTAACAATCAGACTTGGTGTCTGTGAGTTGTGCACGTATTTGCCCCAAGGGGTATGTGTGTGTGTGTGTGTGTGTACAAGTGTGTATCTGTGCACACATATGAGCCCCCAGAGGTCTTTCTGCTTTGCAACTCATACCCAGGAGAATGAAGCTTCCTCTTTTGGGTGAGATCTTTACTGACAGGTTGCTAGAGGACAGGAACAAAATAATTAGTCTTCTGTTTTCATTCTTGATGCAGTTCAGGCATATGCTGTGATTTGTCCAGCTTCTCGAGGGACATGCTGTGTCTGAATAAATTCTCCCCTTCTCTCTCCATTCTTTTTTGTCTCCCTCTTCCATTTCTCATTCCTTTTTTTTTGTACAAATAATTGGACTCATTCTAGTTTTAAGGTACAGTGGTAGGCTGCATTTCTTTCCCTTTTCTTTCACCTGACCCCACACCCGGATGACCTACTGCCTCACTCTGGGCATTTGTTTGGAAGTTGGGCCTTGCTTCATCGTTTGCACAGAGCATGGAGGGTCCATGCTGACCTGTCCCCATCTGGCCCAGGGCACACTAAGTGCAATAGGACAATGTTTTGCATTTGCAGAGTGATCATTTATCTTTGAGAAAACGAGACCAATAAAGAAGCTTTGAGTTTCTAAAAATTAGCTCCCTTTGAGATAATGATTGAGATAAAAAATATATAATGACTTGAAGTGGTCACACAGTCACCAAGCAGAAAACCCCAACCAAATAAACAAAGACCAAGTTATCGGCTCATTAAATTTCTTAAAGTATTCATTTAAATGCCCTTTAAGTCTAGAACACACAGTTTCCATTCACTGCCCCTCCATAACGCTCTCTAAGCCAGAAGATTCTGGAATCGTGTTATTCAAAGTTAGATCCAAGGAAGGTAGCACTAGCTCCTGTCCGGAGCTTATGAGAAATGAGCATTTTGGATCCTGTTTCAGGATCCCCAGAATCAGAACCCCTGGGGTGTTTTTTCTACCAGCCCCTTAGGAACGTCTGTGCACACTGGGGTACAGCAAGGGCTGTTCTCCAACACACTCAGGAAAACATGAGTCTGGAGCTTGCTGTCGGAGCAGGTGGCCCTGGCTTTCCAAGAAACACACAAAATACTGTATCTTGTATTGCTGCTTTCTGCAGCTCTCAGGCTGTGTGGGCCTCTAACCATCCAGCATGTGGCACGGATTCCATGTAGGTAGGGAGGAGGGTCAACAGGGCATCAACAAAGATGGTCTGTGTGTTTTCTGGA